CACACACACACACACACACACACACACACACACACACACACACACACACACTCATCCCCAGGCATATGTGTATGCAGGCTGACATCCACGTACACACATGCACTATACGTCGTACTGTGCTTTCTTCCCCCTGGCTCTTTTTGAATGTCGCATTCTGCATTCCTCTTTTTCCTTGCCTGCTTTTCTTTTTTTACTGCATATTCCCTCACTCGCTTCGCTCAAATCACGCTCTCTTTCCTGAGACTCCTCTCCCGACTCTTTCGCTTCTTCCTTGTTAGATGTTTCTTCGTTCTCACCTGATTGGTCCACCAAGTTGATCACACTCTAACTCTTGTTCGCCCCCTCTTCATTCTCATTTTCCTCCTCCCTCTCCCTGTTTGCCGTGCTTGGAACCTTTTCATGCTCTGCCCCACTAACACGCTCCACGTCAGCTCTCCTTTCTCCCATTGTTGACTCCGAAACTATTTGCATTCCTGGACCAGTGCATTCCATAAGCACTGGTCCTTCCCCCCCATCTTTCTCATGTGCACTTTGCTCTCTGGTGTCTTCGTCGGTGCCTTGCGCCTGTGCAGTGATGACAGTCGTATCGTCTGTTCCTTGCGACTGCTTGGAATGCGAATCGATCCCTGCCACCGCCTTCACTACCTCATGTGCCTGGAATTTTGGTCCTTCGTCTGATGCTTTTTTTCGCTGCTCCTCTTCAATCTTTTCGTCCTTTCCGTCATCGCCAACAACTTCCGCCTGGCTCCCACTGCACTGATGCCTTCTGACGGTTTAAGTGCTCGTTGCGGTGTGCTCGATGACTGCTCACTGAACTGATCTCCCATTGCGTTTTGCATCCTGAGATGCCCTTCCTTGTCTGCCACACTCTCACCACCACCTCCTGCTGTTGCTGAACCGATCTTCTTCCTTGCACCAGTGTGTCCCTCAAGGCCTTGACTGCATCCCACAAGTATGTCGCTGTCGTACATACAGTCCGTTGCACGGTAGTCCACAGACCATATGACAGCTCTATACGATGGACTCGATTTCTTGTCGTAGAATGCAGCGCAATACTCGAAAAGGTGATTTTCACGCAGGAATTCGAATAACGAGTTCACTTTGTCTGATATTTTGTGGTCTGGCGCCTCTCTGTTCGCCTGCTTCACGCGGGTAGACAAGTTGTCCTTTGCGATTTCATAAAACCTGCTCCTGAGAACTCTTTCCCTGAACACTCATTTCCCACCCATTCGGATAGCCATGTGCCATCTGCCATCAATCACACAAGGCTCCAAAAGACCTGGATGCCATATGATGTGATGCCCCCAGTTGTGTTCATATGACTCTTTGTACTTTGTTCCTAGACAGTGAGGTCCTCCTTTCATCTCCTTCATGTCATATGATATATTATCACCCAGTGCAAGTTGTTTGGGGACGTCGTCCGGGATGTGAAAGAGGGTATCATCCTCTATGTCCATCCCATCTTGGTCGTCCACTGATTCCTTGTCTGCACGTGCAACATTTTGAGTCTCGCCGTCTGCCGCTCCTTCTATGTCATTGCGAACTCTCCTCACAAGAGAAACGAATCTTGGGGTAGCTTCCTTCATGCCGCACTTGGATGTGCTTCCTTCCATTGCACCACCTGTTTTCGGCATTGTTCCATGCATCACATTATCGGGCCTGGTACTTGCGATAGTGCCGCCAACATCTTCCTCCATCGCTTGTTGACCACCCATAGCGGACAGCGGAGGCGTTTCGTCTCTCACTGCATTTTGATTTGCATCCGGCAATGGCAGGTCAATCTCCTCATCCTCTGTCTCCTCCTCACTGTCCATAATGTCAAACTGCTCCCCAAACGTCCATTACCTCGCAACAAACCTTGACATCAATTTTGGCTCGTTTCCTTTCAAACCACAGGTGTTCACATCGGCCCAGAAATATCTCAATTGCACCGCGTTTGGCGTTGTGATATCCTTGTAGATGCTGGATTGCTCTCACCTTACGGTGCAAATAATCTGCATCTGTTGGTGTTGCGGGTGCATTGCAGAAAAGATAGCTCCACAGAGAGTCCCTCTTCTTGACGAGCTTCAGGAACATTTTGATAGCTCCACAGAGAGTCCCTCTTCTTGCCGAGCTTCAGGAACATGTCTCATTCCGCACGATGTTGAGGTTTCGGCCGTTCAAAGTGACACCTATTATCCGGATTGTGAACGTGGCGATCGATAAACAAAGTGGAGTACTCCATCAGGTTTGAGGAACCATCACATGCGACGACATGGCATCCTGAGCGCTGCAAGTCCCACGTTGTTCCTGCCTCAACGTTGCCCAGTAACAGAACACCTTCCCCTTCCTTCGAAAACCAGATGCACAAGTCTTTCATCTTTGCAGGTTCCCTCTCCCATATCCCGTACACAGGTTTGTTATTGCCTCGCACGCTGATTGGTTCTTTAGTGCATCGTACAAATAACTCCTCCACGTAATGTGTGTCGAAGAGAGTGTTCCCACAACGCTTTCCGACCTTGACCTTTTTCAAGTCGTTGTCTATATCGTGCAACACAATGGTCATGGAGTCGCGCCCTGTCAATGGAAGGTTCCCAACTTGGGCGCAGGATGATGCTGCTTCGCTATAACGACGCCAGTGCCCTGGAAGAACTCTCACTTCGTCCCACCTGAAGACGTTCCTCAACACCGTTTCCTCGACTTTTAATGCGTTGAATATGATTAGCGCCCAATGCGACCCGCACAACACCGTCATCATTTGGCGGAGCTCGTGAAACCTTTGCTCGCTCCATGCGTCGAGATTCTTCAACGGAGCCAAGTCCAATACTGCAAGGTGACAGCTCAGCTTTCTCACGGCACGAGTCAAATCTTTTGCCGGGTGCAGTTCATCCATAGGTGTGATGCAGATAGGAAGATACGTTGTGTGATTTTTGCGCTTGTCCCATTTTGTGTGTTGAGCATTTGAGTTGATCCGTCTCAGCTCGTCCCTCAATTGCTCAACTACGCCAAGAATCTCATGCACGAAAAGCTTGAGGAAGTACGGACACTCCATATATATTGTAGTCGTCACCTTGTACCCCCCGACATTTCTTTTTCCTAGTTTTGCCTCATCCACGCCGCCCAATCGTTTCGGGACATCGATAGTCTTCTCTGCTACGATCTTTGACTTGGTTTCTTCCCATTTCTCTATCGTCAACCCTCGTGGTGCGAACCACCTCATTATGGTATCGTAGCCAATGAAGAACTTTTCATTCCACTCCCCCTCCGACCTCTGCTCTATCTTGAAGAGGACATATTTAAACATGCGAACCATATATCTCTCCGTTCTCACCTCCACATACAGGTCTTGCATGTTCATCAGTTTTTTCACAAATGCCCTTCCGCTTGTGATGACAACGTGTCCTGCAAGTATTTTCTCGAGGGTCATTTCCTTCTCCCTTGATGTGAAATCGCCGAACACCTTCCATGCGCTCGCGGGGGGATCATTGATGCAAACATAGAAACCCGGTAAGCTTTTGTTGGACTGGACGTAATGCACCAACACTCTTTTGTCTTTCACCGTTTTCGCTGCAGGGTCCGGTTCTGCCGCCTCACCTGCTTTCCCTTCCTGATCCACTGGTCTCACGCCGTCCTGCCCTGGCAGTTCGCCTTTTTCCCATTTGTCGAAGAACTTCTCAACCAGATTCCACACAACCCTGCCGCTCGCCGCAAGACACATGTAGGGCCTCAAAAGGTCTGAACAATTCCTCACAAATCTTTTCGCCAACGACTGGCTCCAGAGCGAGGTGTCAGGAGTCATCCGTATAGCTTTCCGTACGAACTCCTGATATTGGTCATGCTGTGCAGTCCTCTCTTCCCCTATCTTTGCCTGATGCCAATCACCTTTTGGCTCTTTCATACTCTGCCACAGTCCTCTTATAGCAGTCACAGCCATTCGAAACGACGACGGGATAGCACGTGTCTCCCTGGTGTTGTCAAACGTGGAGATGTACGCATACCCCTCCAAATGGTCGTCGTCAAAATACACAACCCGCGCCTTCCAAGAATGCACGCCCCACTTGTGGGCAGCAGACGATTTTGCAGCGACCAGCCTCTTTGCTGCTTCCGCTGTATGTTGGCCGGCCACTGTGTACCAATGGTAGGAGGCAACCTTGTCATCATCCCTGTCCTCCGGCTTCACACGTTCCCACCGCTTCCGGCCATCCTTCTTCACTTCAACGACAGAAGCAAGAATCCAGGTGTTTCTGTCTCATTCCTTCTGCTTTTCGGGGTGTTTCATTGCGTCCCTGATGGAGGTGACCAACATCTCGTTCAACGGCCTGTGGTTGTATTGCACGCCTTCCGAAGGGTTGGGCAGTATTTTGACCACATCAACGAAAACTTGGGTAGGCCGATCTATCGTATTGCCGTCCTCGTCGTATTCCAGGAAAAAACATTTTGTGGTGTCGATAGTGTCGTTGGTCAACTCTCCAGGCTTTGACGTTGTATGTCTTGGGTCGACCCCCGCCGCTTCGTCCCCAGAGCCGGGCACTTCCTTTGTCTCCTCGGCCTTTGCTTTCTTCTTCGGCCTCTGGGAAGATCGAGTGCGTTCACGCTTTTCCTTTGCTGGTTTCGCGGATTGCGCCTCTAAGGATCTTTTGTAAGCCTCCTTTGAGGCCTGTAGGCTGATGAGCTTAGCTTGTCTCCGCTTCTCTTCCTGTGCTTTCCCACATCTAATTTTCCTCTTGCGCATGCACACAAACCTCTGTGTGCCATGCAACACATCGTCATCTTTTGCCGGACCATCATGACTAGTGGCACGGAAAGACTGTTCCCGCCTTTTCTGCGACCCTCCATTCCCGTAGTCGTCGTCGTCCGCCCCACCCTCATCTCCTTCGCTCCCCCCTTCGTAGTTGTCTTCCCGTTCTGCGGCGTCCTCGTCACTTGCATCCTCATTTTCTTCTTCTTCACTCCCATCGCCTTCGTGACCACCATCCTCTTGGCCTTCACTACCATCGCCTTCGGCGAAGTCATCCTCCAAGCTTCCCTCTTCATAGTGTGCACCGTCGCGGAACCGCTGTTCGTCGTCGTCCCCTTCCGTGTCTTTCACGTCATTGCCATCGGCCCACCGCCCACCGTCCCACTGTCTGAAGCGCGAGTCCTCCTCTGTGTTTTCGTCGTCATCCTCATGGTCAGTGGCCCCACCAGCTGGAGTCGAAGAAACGCATGCCACATAGTCTGCATGTGATGGTGCCCCGTCACAGACACACCCTTTGGCTGGAGCAGAGAAGTTGATTTGCTCACGCTCTTTGCCTGTGTCGATGCGGCCCCACTTTTGCTCATACAGACAGATGTTTTCGGCTCCCCACAACTCTTGCCTATCGGCTGTGGCGAGCTCACAGACACGGTAGTTCGCAAAACGGCTTGGCCCATCGCTTGCAGCTTGTGCCATCGCACCATGTCTGCAAAGTCTCCAAGATCACAGTCGAACGGCACGAAGGGAGTTGACAATTGCAGCTTGTTGTCAATTGCCACGATATGGTCGGACACCTTATAGCAATTAATGCGTTTGAGGAACTCGAACGGCCTTAGCATCACCATCTGCGAGGCATCCTTCTTCTTCGACTTGTCGAACGGTGGCATTGATGCAGCGCGGATGCCGTAACCTTGGAACTTGTCGACTTGGAGAGACACGAGCTTATAGTTGTCAGGCACCTCGTGACCATCGCTGTCGAAACATGTCGTCAAATGCAATCTCATGTACTACTCGTCAGGCATGTTCTTATCAAACGAGTACGTCTTGATACCCCCGCACGGGCAGTAACTGCCACTCTCATCCTGCAAGAAAATGCATGGCCCGCAACGGGGGACCTTCATACCGAGGTGCCAATCGATTGCCCAATACTTCTCTTGGAATGTGACCGCCCTTCCGACAACCTTCGGCGTAGAGATACCTGACGAGCAAGCAGCTGCATAACACCGCATCTGACACCGGCGTAATACACGGAACAAACAAACGTTAAGAATAAGTGCCAGTGGAAGGCCTCCAGAACCGGTGACAAGAGCAAGCTGCCGACTTTACGCAGTACGGGGACACACAACCGACGTTCGGAGTGAGTGGTGCGTTGTCGGCCTTTACTCAAAGCAGTTGCCCACAGTAACGAACGTTCGGATTGGGAGCAGGTAAACAGGGAACCACTTTCCTCCACTGCGGCATCCCTCCCACCGCAACGGAAAAGCACCGTTTCCCATCGCGCCCATGGCCAGTGCCGAGGGAAAGTATGTAATAGCTGCAACAACTATAGTCGCGAAGCAGCTGCAACAACAGATGACACTTAAGCAGCAGCCGCAACCGCAGCAGCCACAGCAACAGTTCTTGGGAGCAACAACATGAGCTACTGCGTCAGACGCCTCCACAGTTCGGCACTTCGAAGACGGCGGACCATCGGATGGTCTGGCGCCTTGATGATGCGGACCATCCGATGGTCTGGCGCCTTGACGACGCCGGACCATCTGAGGGAAGAGAGGGGTCCAGCAGGCAGGAACACCAGCAGCCACGGCAACAGCAAAATGGGCAGCATCACGAGCTGCCACAGCAAAAGTGGGACGGGCAGCTACACCAACGGTGGGACGGGTCACACAACGCGGGGCAGAAAGGGGCCCAGCATGGGCCGCATACCAGCAAAAGGCCCAGCATGGCCTGCTACACAGCGCAATGACAAACTCCATCTACCGAAGCCAGTCACCGGTTCCAGCCTATTAGCAAAAGGCCCAACATGGCCCGCACACGAGCAAATGTAGGTCCGTAAGGACAACAAAGGGCCCAATTCGAAATATCTCCCCTACGGGCCAAAACCAAGGACCATACCAACTAAAGCAAAATAAACAAAAACCAAACAAAGACAAACCTCCTCCTTATGACATGCAAGATCCGTATCCAAATACTCAGGCAAGAGCCCAATACCTATCATCATTCAAGAACAACACACAAGAAACAGAAAGTTACATACTTAGGAATTCGGTTGTCCACTTCTTGACATGGTTGTTACGGAACACCAGTAGCCACAGCGACTGCGGGATGGGCAGCAGCAAGAGCTAACACAACAACAGTGGAACGGGCAGCTACGGCAACAGTAGGACGGGCAGCAGCACGGAGGGAAGCATCGTGGGTCGGGCAGCTACAACAACCACAGCAACAGCAGGACGGGTAGCATCGTGAGCTGCCACAGCAACAGCAGGGCGGGCAGCATCGTGAGCTGCTGCAGCAACAGTGGGTCGGCCAGCTACAGCAACAGTGGGACGGGCAGCAGAACTAAGGGAAGAGAGGGGTCCAGCAGCTCGGATGGTCTGGCGCCTTGACGACGCCGGACCATCGGATGGTCTGGCGTCGTCACGGCGCTGGACCATCATGAGAGGGGCCCAGCACGAGCACCAGCGGCTACAGCAACCGCAGCAACAGTGGGACGGGCAACAGCTACAGCAACAGCGGGACGGGCAGCAGCTACAGCAACAGTGGGACGGGCAGAACATCAACAGCGGGACGGGCAGGAGCTATAGCAACAGTGCGACGGGCAGAACATCGACAGCGGGACCGGCAGCATCGTGAGCTGCTGCAGCAACAGTGGGTCGGGCAGCTACAGCAACAGCGGGACGGGCAGCAGAACTGAGGGAAGAGAGGGGTCCAGCAGCTCGGATGGTCTGGCGCCTTGACGATGCCGAACCATCACGAGAGGGGCCCAGCACGAGCACCAGCGGATGGTCTGGCGTCGTCACGGCGCTGGACTATCACGAGAGGGGCCCAGCACGAGCACCAGCGGCTACGGCAACCGCAGCAATAGTGGGACGGCCAGCACCTACAGCAACAGTGGGACAGGACGAACATCAACAATGGGACGGGCAGCAGAACTGAGGGAAGAGAGGGGTCCAGCAGCTCGGATGGTCTGGCGCCTTGACGACACCGGACCATCGGACGGTCTGGCGCCTTGACGGCGCCGGACCATCGACCGTCTGGCGCCTTGACGGCGTCGAACCATCGGACGGTCTGGCGCCTTGACGGAGCCGGACCATCGAACGGTCTGGCGCGTTGACGACGTCGGACCATCGGACGGTCTGGAGCCTTGACGACGCCGGACCATGGGATGGTCTGGAGCCTTGACAACGCCGGAGCATCGGATGGTCTGGCGCCTTGACGACGCCGGACCATCCACTGGGAGAGAGGGGCCCAACAGCTAGGAACACCAGCAGGCTCAGCAACAGCGGGACGGGCAGCATCGTGAGCTGCTGCAGCAACAATGGGTCGGACAGGTACAACAACAGTGGGACAGGCAGCAGAACTGAGGGAAGAGAGGGGTCCAGCAGCTCAGATGGCAAGCACCATTTCCCATCGCGCCCATGGCCAGTGCCTAGGGCAAGTATGTGATAGCTGCAACAGCTATAGCCGCGAAGCAGCTGCAACAACAGATGACACAGCAGCAGCCACAACCGCAGCAGCCACATCAACAGTTCTTGGGAGCAACAACATGAGTTACTGCGTCGGACGCCTCGACGGTTCGGCACTTCGAAGACGCCGGACCATCGGATGGTCTGGCGCCTTGACGACGCCGGACCATCGCATGGTCTCGCGCCTTGTCGGCGCCGGACCATCGACGGGAAGAGAGGGGCCCAGCAGCCAGGAACACCGGTAGGCATAGCAACAGCGAGACGGGCAGCATCGTGAGCTGCTGCAGCAACAGTGGGTCGGGCAGCTACAGCAACAGTGGGACGGGCAGCAGAACTGAGGGAAGAGAGGGGTCCAGCAGCTCGAATGGTCAGGCGCCTAGACGAGGCCGGACCATCGGATGGTCGGGCGCCTTGACAAAGCCGGACCATCACGAGAGGGGCCCAGCACGAGCACCAACACCTACAGCAACAGTGGGACGGGCAGTAGCTACAGCAACAGTGGGACGGGCAGCAGCTACAGCAACAGTGGGACGGGTAGAACATCGGAGGGTCCGGTGATTCACGATGGCAGAGCATCCGAGGGGCGTCAGAGTAAAAAACAACCACTAAAAGCCGCAACGCACAGAAAACACAAAAAGGTTTCCCGAACATACCTTTGGATGACATCTCCGCTTGCGTCAATTGATGGTCGGCGCAGTTACACAACTGGGGTGGCGCTGTGCAGTAGCCTCGTCGGTGCTTCGCCTTCGTTACAGCCCAACCTTCCACACCGCCAAACAAGGGACAATGATACGTGTCATTGAACGTGTCAAAGCTCCACCTTCCGCAATGTCAGAGGGCACCGAACAGTGGACCCCCTTCCTCCAACAAAACCAATTAGTCAATCGTTCAATGAATCGATCAGTCGATCTATCAATCAATCAATCAATCAATCAAACTATCAATCAATCTGTCAATCAGTCAATGATGAAGGTCGGAAAAAGACCCCCTTTCGCCAATCATGTGTTCAACGAACGAAGTGCCAATCAATGTGCCAATCATGCGTTCGACGAACGGTGTGCCAATCAAGCCATTTCCATGATAATCTTGCCGAAAAAAGGGTGGGGGGAGAAACGATAGAAAAAAATTAGACATAAAAAGTTGCCGATTGATTTCAAGATCCGATGAAATCCCCCCCCGCCGTCCATTGATGAACATCTAGATATGCCCTTCCACCTACGAAATCTGGAGAAGGCCAGATGGGGAAGACGATCTTTTTTTTTTTTTTTTTTCGTTTGCCGGCCAACCATAMAATTGAAAAAAAAAAAAAAAAAATAAAGGGAAAAAAATAGATAACAGAACTTGCAGATCGCTTTCAAGATCCGATGGAATCAATCCATCCATCCTTCAATCAACCGATCGATCGATCGATTGATTGATTGATTGATTGACTGATTGATTTGGTAAATTGATTGATTGATTGCCAAATAAGAAAAGGCCCTTCCCTAAATAGAGAAAAAAAAAGGAAAAAACAAAAAAAAAACAAACAGAACTGCCGGATCGATTTCAAGATCCGATGGAATCAATCTATCCATATAGCGATTTCAAGATCCAATGGAATCAATCTCATCGCCCACCCGACGCTTAGCGCGCAAACTGCAAATAGGAGATCCTATCTAGAGAAGGCCAGATGGGGGAGACAATCTTTTTTTTCTTTTTGTTCGTTTGTCGGCCAACCAAACAATCGAAAAAGAAAAAATAAAGAAAAATAAAGGGAAAAAAATAGATAGCAGAACTTGCAGATCGCTTTCAAGATCCGATGAAATCAATCCATCCATCAGTCAATCAAATATCGATCGATCGATCGAGTGATTAAACGATCGATCGATTGATTGATTGATTGATTGATTGATTGATTGATTGATTGATTGATTGATTGATTGATTGATCACGAAATTTTATTTTTCTTTTTTTGAGAGTGTTTTTTTTGGTTGATTGATTGATTGATTGCCAAATAAAAAAAGGCCCTTCCCTAAATATAGAAAAAAAAAAGAACAAACATAATAACAAACAGAACTGCCGGATCGGTTTCGAGATCCGATGGAATCAATCTATCCATCAATCAATCCTTCAATCAATCCTTTAATCAAGTGATTGATTGATTGATTGATTGATTGCCAAAAAAAAAAGGTCCTTCCCTCCTTCTCTTCCTCCTATTCTACCCATCCTCCATATCCTCCTCCTCGCCACCGGTGGCCCCTTCTTCCTACTCTTCCTCCTCCTTCTCCTCCTCTTCCTCCTCCTCCTTCTCTGCCTTCCACTCTTCCCTGTCAAGCTCTTCCCTCCTCCTCGCCTGCGCCTCCTCCCCGCCTCCTCCTCCTCCCCTTCTAATCCTTATTTTCTCTCGCTGTCTCCAAGTACTCTTCCTGCTCTTTGATGGGGAAAATGGCGGTGGAGGGAAAACATGGCGATGGGGGAAATGGCGATAAAGGAGGAAAATGGCGGTGGAGGGAAAAAACAGTGGTGGAGGGAAAAAATGGCGGTGGAGGGAAAAAATAGCGATGGAGGAAGAAAATGGCGGTGGAGGGAAAAAATGGCGATGGGGAAAATGGCGATGGAAGAGGAAAATGGCGATGGGGAAAATGGCGATGGGGAAAATGGCGATGGAGAAAATGGCGGTGGAGAAAATGGCGGTGGAGGAGGAGGAAGACGAAAATTGCGATGGGGAAAAAGATTGCGATGGGGAGGACGAAGAGTAGGAGGAGGAGGAGGAGGAGGGGGAGGAGGAGGAGGTGGAGGAGGTGGAGGAGGAAAATGGCGATGGGAAAAATGGCGATGCAGAAAATGGCGGTGGATGAGTAGGAGGAGGAGGAGAAGGAGGTGGAGGAGGAAAATGGCGATTGGAAATATGGCGATGGAGAATAAATGGCGATGGAGGAGGAGGAAGAGGAAAATATGCGATGGGGAAAAAGATCGCGATGGGGAGGAGGAAGAGGAGGAGGAGGAGGAGGAGGAGGAGGAGGAGGAAGAGGAGGAGGAGGTGGAAAAGGTGGAGGAGGAAAATGGCGATGGGAAAAATGGCGATGCAGAAAATGGCGGTGGACGACGAGAAAGAGGAGAAGGAGGAGGAGGAGGAGGAGGAGAAGGAGGAGGAGGAGGACGAGGAGGAGGAGGAGGACGAGGAGGAGGACGAGGAGGAGGAAAATGGTGATTGGGAAAATGGCGATGGAGAAAATGGCGGTGAAGGAAAAGGAAGAGGAAAATATGCGATAGGGGAAAAAGATCGCGATGGGGAGGAGGAGGAGG